GGGGGGGGGGGGGGGATGTTTCAAATAAAGACCCAGAGGTCATAATGACTGCCAAGACAAAGCAAGTCAGTGATCCAACTCAGAAAAGAACTCAAGTCTTTGATGTTGTCAACGGCACTTTTAACTTTCAATGACAGAGTCTCTTTAACATGGAGAAACAATAAGGCTGTAAATACCTCTTCTGGAGCACTTGTGTTAAATGGGTCATGACTGGGAGAGCCCCTTACTGGCGTCAGCGACAGGTTTTTCTCCAGATCACTAAAGACCTGCGGGTCCAGCAGAGTGGAGAAGGAGCTGGATGGAAGCAGGTCTTCCAAGTCGCCATCTTGGCCTAGGAACAACAAAGCAGAGAGGACACCAACAGCTTTTCACTTTGGGAGGAAGATAAGAATCTTGAACATAAAGAGTTTTCTGATCCTTAAAAATCAGAGTCAACATCTGGCATCCCTAAGAACAACAACATGGGCCCTAGGAATAGCATCTTAAACTGGGAGCACCTAAGGCCCAGGGGCTCTTGGGCCATGTGAGTATCCAGCACTGGTATTGATAGAGGTAATCAATTAATCAACAGTGGTTTAATAAATGTAACTATGGACTCACAGCATTGGCATTAAAGCTAACTGAGTCTGACAACCCTTCTATAATTTTGTGTCGGCACGTGGGGCTTTAAGTATTTCACTTCAGAAATAACCTATGGAGGAATTCCAGTAGTACAACTAAAGTGATTCTAAACAGCAACAGAGTCACACTTAACTCCATTTCCATCACTACTTTGCTCTTGAAAAAAAATGTGCAAAGCAAAAAGGGAAAAGAGAAAAGATGATGACTCTTGGTCCCTCTTGAGAGGGTTCTTTATGCCATTCATTTCATTTTAAAGCAGAAAGAATAATGACATAATGGAAAAAAGCAACCACATAACCAGCAAAGTAGCAACTCTGAGAATTTTTTTTTAATGTGTTTAGAAATGAAAAGGATTAAGTGCTGAACAACAGTGCCAGACATTCTTTTTTAAAAACAGAATGGTCCTTCCAACTAGTCTTTAAATAACACAGAATGGCAAATCATTTACTTGTTTAAAGATACTAACCAGACATAGCTTTTAACTTAGGTTTTATTAGATTTTTAGTCTAATTTTATTAGAATTGAGGTATTCTTAGAACTGCCTGAGGATTTTCTAAATAAACATAAATCCTACTGAGAAAGCACTGTTGATGAAACTCTTCATTAGAACAGGACATAATTTCCAATGGTTTATAAAAATCTTTCTGTACAGGGTTAAAAACTCTCTCTTTTAACTATACTATTATATGCATAGATTAAAAAGGCAGAAAGAATTACATGAAAATGTCCGTAGTGACCATGCCAGTGCAGTTATGAGTGATTTTTACCCCTTTTCTCTATTTTCTAAATGTTTTACAATATAGTCTAATTGAAGAAATTAATCTGCTCTTTTTTCATTTTGAAACATTATAGTATTGAGATTCTATAAAATCAAACAATGTTACAAATACTATGACTATGCAAAAATACTATGTAAAATATCTGCATAATAATTTTATGTAAAAATTAATTAGAGAATCTGTAATATTCCTTAAAAGATACTCTTGTGAAGGCATAGAAAATGCTGAGTAATGAGAACTATCATGACAATTAGAGGTTTATTTGCTCATTCAGATAACTATAAAGTCTTAATACATGCCAGGCCTCATGGACAAAAACATGAAGATCCATTTTGTTCAAAGATCCTGGTCCAAAGGATTTTCTTTCTTTGTGAACCCATAAAAATTAAAATTTCAAAATCCCAAATGTTCCACAAGTACCTTCCCAAAGACTTATTTTCATCACTTACTTTTAAAGTAAATAGCCCCACCTATGCAGTGCTAATGAACAAGAGAACTTCAAAGTTCTTAACATTTTTGCTTATTTTGAATGACCCCCAAAGCTTTGTTGTATTTGAGGATGGCCAATTGGCCCATCAGCAGATAAAATAATAATAAATACAACAAAATACAGGCTATTTTTACTTAGATGTTTTACAGACTTTTTAAAAAATATATTCAAAGCTGGACACAATACCCCTCAACCCTGGCAATGTTTCTCCTCTAGATTCCCCCCTCATGGTAAGTGGAAACATCCTCTGCTAGTTGCTTTAGCCAGAAATATTATCTTTCCTGATGCTTTCTTCTTCTTCACTTTGCTAATCTAACTCATCATACTATTAAGTCAAGGGTAACACCAAAATAGATTTCCAATCAGCACTATCACATCTTCCCACTGTAATACTGTAGGGTTATCTTGATTGGTTTCCCTCCCTTCCAACACTGCTGGAATAGTCCCAGTGGTCCATAGTCAACACTCCATCTGTCATGTCACTCCATCTGTCATGTCACTGACTTGTTAAGACCCTTCAGTGGATCCTCTGGGCTGGAATGAGAGCTGAACTCCTCACCTTGCATGATCTGGCTGTGTCTCTTCTATTATCTCATCTGTCTCACTCTGCCCTCTGCCCACTACCTTTCAGGCACATGCGTCTCTTTTTTTTTTTTAATTGGAGTAGAATTGCTTTACAATGTTATGTTAGTTTGCTGTACAATGAAGTGAATCAGCTCTATGTACACACACTGAGGTCCTTTTCCACCAAGGCTCTCGCACATGCTGTGATTCTCTCTCTCTCTCTAGAATATCCCCTATACATGGGGAGGGCTCTGTCTGAACAATCAAACAACACTGTACTCAGCAGCCTACACTTTTTCTGGCAGAGAACAGATGCCTAATAACACTGCTGAATGAATGGATGAGCCACCTAATTTGAAATAATAGCAATTGAGGCCAAATGTAAAAAGTTTATAGCCACATAAAATCAACTCAAGTAGAAAAGCTCTTAGAGCTACATACCTTTTTTACCTGGAGCCAAAACGACTGTTTCTTGCATTTTCTTGTACCTGTTCAGGCACTGTCGAAGATCTTCTATTTTCCGATCCTATTAATAAAATAATAATTTTTAATATTATGATTTTTAAAACAATAAAAGTAATTGAAAAGAATGAGCGGACGTGACTTATTTACATTATTCAAAGAATAGTTCTAAACTTTAGTAAAACTGCTAATGTCTAGAATATTTTTCCTACATACATCAGAGATATAGAAAAAGTACCTCTAAATTTAGAGATCCTATCCTTCAGCTGCCATCTTTAAAAAACAAAAACAAAAACAAGGTAATAAGATACAAAAAAAAGCCGAGAAAAAAATCAACTTTAATTACTCTCCTCTCTACAATAAGTCAGAGCTGGAAAGGAAGATCTATGCTTGCTATCTTCATCAGCCACCATTAATCTCCATCTGGTTTTTCCCTTCTCACAACACTCCGTCAAAGTTCCTTCAGTTAGTCATCAGGGACCTTTCTCTTCAGGGCTTCTCAGGTGGCACAGTGGTAAAGAATCCTCCTGCCAACGCAGAAGCCGCAGGAGACACAGGTTCGGTCCCTGGGTTGGGAAGCTTCCCTGGAGTAGGAAATGGCAACCCACTCTAGTATCCTTCCTTGGGAAATCTCATGGACAGAGGAGCCTGGCGGGCTACAGTCCACGGGGTTGCAAATGTCAGACACGCTGAGCACACGCACACAACCTTCTCTTTACTAAAAACAATGGACACTTTCCATCCTTTTCCGAATTTGATCTCCAGATGGCACGTGATTGACCCCCACTTTCCTTCTTTCACTCTTCTCTCCACTCTTTCTTTTCTTCTGTCTTGATTTGTTAATCCTTGAGCAGGATTTGTTAATCCTTCTACTTCCATTACCGCCCCCCCACTCCACCCCATGCTAATGTCCCGAACAGAATATGAAATGTTAGAGCTTCAAGGTTTTATCCTTTACCCTCTTCTCTTCTCCCAGGCCCTCAGAGTGGTAGATTATAAACATAGGCTCCTGGCTCCCTCCAACATGGATTTGGGGCATGACCATATGACCTACTTAGGCTAATGATAGGAAACAAATGAGGTTCAAAGCAAAGGTTTGAGAAGTAGTTGCACGCTGGGGCGTGCCCTCTCTTGCTGCCCTAGGAACTCTGAGGCCACTATGTGAAGAAGCATAGGCTAGCCTAATGGAGGTAGGGAGATCATTTGGAGAAGACAAAACCTAGACCAGTCTGTCAATCATCAGACATGTGAATTACACCATCTTCAACTATCCAGCCCCATCCCAGCCACCAGCAAATGGCAGGGGATCAGCAAAGTCAGCCCAGACTAGAAGAACAATCTAGCCATTCTACAGAAGTATGAGAATTAACAAATATCATTTATTATGGGGCAAAAGCAAACTGATATATCAACTATAGTTTCGTCCCCACCCATCTATATATTTCAACTCTATGTTTCTCCTAAAATTGACAGGGTTCTCTGCCCACTAACTTATAATCCTACATTAATCCTGAAATATAGATTCATTTTCCAACTTTCTATGAGAAATCTTTTAATGTCCCACAAACACATCACAAATTGAATACATCTAAAATGAAGCTCATTATTCACCCCTAGTACTTGACTCTCTGCTTGGATTCCAGTAACTCTTTTATGGGTACCCTCATTCAACCCACTGCCCAAACCAGAAAATTTTCCCCAAATCCAAAGATTTAAAAATCTTGTTAACCAGTGAATTTCTCTAAAATCCGACCCTCTTATCACCTCACTGCCACTGCCTTCTTTCCACAGCTTCATTTCTCACCGATTTTAAAAGCCTCTTAATTGTTGTCTTCATTCTCTTTCTTTTATTCTTGCTTCTGCCACCAGAATTGGCTTTCTAACATGGCAATTTAATTATGTCACCGTTCCAGGTCTAAAGCTGAGACTCCAAATCACTAAATCATCAGCTTCACTATAGCACCCCCTCATACACCCACGTCCTCCACCTGTATCTCATGGCTCCAGAACTTTCCCAGTATGCAGTGGCTGTTTCAAGACTTGGTTTTGACTGGTGATTTTGCTTATGGATCTTTTGCCCAGAACCTTTCATTTTCTTGATGAATGACTCTTGCTCTCACTCAGGATTTGCCCAAATATGTCCTCTTTGAAGGCTTCTTGGAACCACCAAGAAGTTAGGTCACTCTTGGTGCTCTTAGAGAAGTCTGAGCATCTAATAAGCCCTCATTCAACATTGGGAGTTTTGCTTGTTATTGTTGCTTTTTGAGGGAGAGAAATGAAAACAAAATGAATTTTAGTGTTGTTGGTTTTTTTTCAAATTCAATCTATGTGGACAGCTTGCTAATAACTTTTTATTTGATGTGGGGAGGACTAACACACACAAATAAACCTATATATGGGTGGGTGGGTACAATGAGTTTATTTCCATTGAATAAAGAACAAAAAGTGTGAAAGGCAATAAACAGAGTTAGGCAAGAAAGAGAAGGAAGCTTATGATGAGAGAAAAAGATCAAGACAAAGTTCTTTAGCATTGACTTGGTTTTTATTTCCTTGAAGTTACTCTTTTTTGTGGGAAAATGTCTCCTTGTTCTACTCATTAAGGGACATGACGGGGGGACAGTTCTGGTGACAGGATCTGAACCTGCCTGCTGGGTATGTGGTTGGTCTGGGAAGCCATGAAGAGACACGTTACTTTATTAAGACCCCGCGTCCCTGCTCTGAGCAGAGTGCAGTGAGGAGAAGCCCTCCTGGAGACGTTGGCATTAGGCCAGTGCATCTCAAACCAAGCCTAGTGCCATCTTGATTACATGGTGCCTGTGCCTGTTTCCTGGCATCTCACCACGCAGGAGAGCAGAGACAATCCCAGACGTGAAAGAGGCCAGCAGTGTGAAGGAAGCAACATGTTCACAGAGATTAAAGTCAACATGATGCTGAAGCTAAAACTGCCATGGCTACCTCCTTCAGAGTTCATATGGTGGCCCAGAATTTCCAGGGACCACAGGAAGGATGTACTATGGACTATGTCCTTTCTCTCATTTGTCACTTGAATGTAGAAAGCTGATCTGATAGCTTGAACACTTTCTAAATTCAAGATGGTGGGCTGTTGAGGGATGGATTCTCAGTAGAGCCAGAGCTGCTGGTCTCCATTCCTATCCACATAGCACAAGTATGTCACTGACCCGCTGAGAGCAGGTCGACTTGGGCAGGAAGGGAGAATCCATCCCCTTAATGTCAGTTGTTTAGGGGATGTTCTTTCAAACTAGGGTATCTGATGAAAATGCATGGAACGATCAAAATGATGATGCAACATATCCAAATAAACAGTTAAATTTCACCTACGTACCTTTTCTTCATTTGCTGCCATCAAAGACTCCACGGCCTTTTTCATTTTTTGTACTTCAATATCTGAAATATCACAGTATCAAGTCAGAAATCTGTTTTTTTTAAACATATGTGAAAATAACAAGAAACTACTGACTCTTCACGTTGAAATGTTTTAAGGTAAAGATGTTAATAATTTATTCTGCTTGTTTTTTTTTAAAGGCACATTTACCATTTATATTCTCTTTTAGGGAAAATCTGAAAAATGAACACTTTCTATTATAGCTCACCTTAATCGTCGTCATTCTAGAAAAAAAGACAACTGCCCTCTCTCAAAGCAAGGACAAAATCCTGATAAGAACGCTGAAGATGAAATTTCAGTGCCATAACAATAAAAACATGGAATTTTCAAAGAAGAAACTTATAATAAAGCAGGTGAAAGTGATGAATGGCATATATATATGACAAAAGCAGAGAAAATGTTCAGTTATAACTGAGACAGAGACACAAATGGTAACAGCCTGATGGAATGTGATATTTACATGAGTGTCATGCTAAGAAGCTAGCTGTAGATTCCATACAGAAGGATAAGTAATTTGCTTCATCTATAAACTTCATTTCCAATACCATCTTAAAATACAAGGGTCAAAGTAAGTGATTCTCCTTAATACTTGATATTCAAATAGAAAAGCATGCTACTTTAATCATAAAAACAAATATTTTAAATATGAAGTCAATCCCAAATGAGATCACAAATTAAAAAAATTAAAACAGAGAAAAAAGTTCAGCTAAAGTTGTCTCCTTCTAAGAGAAAAAAATACTACTGAAGGTGAATTTTAACACAGTGATGAGTCATCCAGCAGAGATATAACACTTTTAATTATGGTATACTCTGTAGGAACTGCTTTTATTATTATTTTTTAAATGGCAAATTTCCTGAAGAATTTAACATCTGGAGGAAAGTCCACTAAGGGTTTATCTTTATCCTGCATTAAATAATCTAGACTCTGTTAGTCAGCCTGGGTACAGTTTCTTTTGTAACACAAGCGCGTACGTACGTTTATAGAAACCCCTAATATAGATCTCAGTCAAAAAGTGGGCTACAAAACACTGGAAAGCAAAAGCAAGTTTAAGATGATTGTTAACTGTGGTAAATTTTAAAAACAGCAGGTTTTGACTTTCCTGGTGGTCCAGTGGTGAAGAACCCACCTGCCAATGCAAAGGACACGGGTTTGACCCCGGGTCTGGCAAGATGCTACATCCTGAGGAACAACTAACTCTGCGCACAACTACTGAGCCCAGGCCCTCAAGCCCCACTGCAGCAGAGAAGGCCTGCATGCAGTAACAAAGACCAGTGCAGTCAAAAATAAATAAATGTGTTGTTTTTAAAAGCAGGTTTTCACTGGAGTATAAACATTGTTTTCTCCTCTGAGCCTGTATCTCAGGCCACAGAGAAAATGCTTCCTCCCCTCCACCAGTCTGGGGGCTCTGCTGAATCCTGCAGAGCAAGGGGGCTGACTCGGGTACAATCTGCAGAATGGTCTTTGACTCCTGCTTCTATCATCGGTTAGTTACCCTCTATTTGGTACATCCTGAAGAAATGAGGAGCTTATTGATGAAGCAATTTTACATCTCTGGTGAGAGAAATGTTTTAAAAATGCATGCAAAGAACAGTCCAAGTAGTACTTTGGGTGAATGTGAAGGCTGATGGAAATACACCAAAAACCTTACTTTTGTCTTTGAGCTTCTTTTTAAAATTTTCATCTGTGCAGGAAAACCCATTGAATTGGAAGTTAGCATATATTACAATGATAATATTTTAAAAGCACTATAATTTGGTCTCCTTTTACCTAAAATAAAGAGACTTTAATCTCATAAAGACTGAATAGGAAGCATTACTTTATGACTTTAGGACTGGCACTATAATGCCATAATGCTTTCTGTGAGGTTAGAACTTCATGTAATTAATGAGAAGATGTAAATCCGAGTTACTACCTCTGTTACTTCATCTTTCTGAGACTTGATTTTCCCACATTAAAGTTGGGCCTTCCAGGTACAAGTGCTTCTTAAACACTGTGATGAAAAAACAGCTAAAGTTGCATCAGCTGCTTTTTATATTCCCATTACAGTCTGATCTATGACCCTCCTGAACATGATGAGGACACTGCTTATGTCATCTCCATCTCACCATTCAAGTTTAACAGCACTGAAATGATCCACCTCCTGTTCAACAAAATCAGTCCACTGATCATGCAGTTAGATGTTATGTTAGCATCAGATTCCATGAAGTTTCTAAACACTAGCTCTTAATGCCTGTACCTGTCTGGTACTGCTAACAAGTGGTTCACAGACCAGTTCACTTCAGTCCAGTCACTCAGTCGTGTCTGACTCTTTGCGACCCCATGGACTGCAGCTCCTCAGGCTTCCCTGTCCATCACCAATGCCCGGAGCTTGCTCAAACTAACATCCATCGAGTCGGTGATGCCATCCAATCATCTCATCCTCTGTCCTATCCTAATCACAGACCAGTGCTGGCCCTCAGATCTGACTTTGGGTTGCATTACTCTGACATAGCCTCTGTAGTTCACAAGTCCTATGAATCCATTTTTCTCTTACGACTCGTGAAAGCATAACGTGCCTGTGAATATCCCTGAAGAAAGCACATCCTATACACGCAGAAACAGAGAGGAAAGACGCATTTCCCTCAATGTTGGATGGACTGAATTTTCAGATGGACAGGGAGTTGTGATACCTGCAGATAAATAAAGCCGGGGCAATCTAGAGCCAAGAAGACTATGGAGGTAATCTAATTCAAGCCCCTCACTGTACAGACAATTGTAATTTGGACAAGAACTCTCTCATGATGAGAATTTACCATGTAATAATTAACCATGTAGGCTTCCCTGCTCGTTCAGACAGTAAAGAATCTGCCTGCAATGCAGGAGACCTCGGTTCAATCCCTGGGTCGGGATGATCCCCTAGAGAAGAGAATGGCTACCCACTCCAGTATTCTCACCTGGAAAATCTCAAGGACAGAGGAGACTGGTTGGCTACAGTTCATGGGGTTGCAAAAGAGTTGCCCCAAGTGAGCAACTAACACTTAGACCAATGATTAGGCTTAATCTAAAATAAACATCCACAAAAGTACAGAGGTGCCCTCCTCTAGCTGCTCAAGAGGAAGCTGACGGATGCCCAAGCACAGTGAAGAGCCTCAGAGGAGTCCCCGGGCTCAGATTGCTGCGGCTGCTCCTCTCTCTCTTTGATGCTAATGTTACACATCATCTAACATCAACTTCTTTTACAGACTGTGATGGTTTTAACAAAAGAAAAAAACAAATGTTTGATACATATTCTTACCTTGATCAAGAATTTCAACCCCTTCTCCTTTCATCTGGCAAACCAATTTTTCTTGTAGTCTTCTCACTTCAGATTCCTTCTCTTCCAGTTGTTCTTTTAGAGATGCCAGCTCCTCCTACAAATGATAATTCATTCAAAAACAGTAGATTATGACTAAAAGGGAATATTCAGAGAGTCTGTTAACTCTTGAGTCAATAATTAGTTTTCATGAATGAAACAAAAAAACTACAAGAATTTAGACGCAAACTTCAGAAATCAGTGGCAATGATAAGCAGGAAGCAAGACAATTAATAAAAGTCCAATTTATAATAACTATGGTATAATTATTTCAAGTTTCTTTGTGGTCAACTTAAAAATGAATCTTTAAAAGTGTAATTAGGACTAGGGCAGCCCTAAGGTTTAAGTCTTACATTAAAAAAAATATCTGACCAAGTTAATCAAAGAAGATAATCAAATTAGATGCTTAGTGTCATAAAAGCAAAACAAAATACAAATTTGAAAAAATATCTTAGACTTGCTTGACATTTATTCAGCATTTCAAGATGGTACTCATGTTCCCTAGACAAGATAGAACTTAATTAGTGGATAAGGCAGCAGGCAATAAACAACTTTAAGTCATGGGACTAAATAATTCCTTCTCATCACTAAGGTAAAAGAATAGAATCTTCTACAACAATGGGAAAAAAAGAGATTCTTTAATCTTAAAAAAAAAAAAAACTACACAACTATTTAAGACCTTAAATCCAATGTTCTATTTACTGAAGTTTGTTTCAGCTTCATTTTGGTAAAGAATTACTAGCTTTAGCAAACTTAAGTTTTGCTGGTTATATTTAACACAGGAAATAGAGCTATGCAATGCTAATAAGTGTGCCTTTATTTTCAATATAACATTTTTTCAGTTGGTAAAGATATCTATTATGTTCAGCATTATGAGAAGATGTAGCTCTCCAAAGCAGCTAAGTTGGCCTATTATAGTTTTTACTTATGGTGGGAATGGACACCAAATATGAGGAATTTTTAGTAGCATTGTCAAGAAGTGCTGCCATGAGCTCACTATGCTTCTAAGCAGTAACATCTACTCACTGCCATGATAGAGTTAACTGCTGTATGCATTTACCTTTGAGAAAGTCTTGAAAGAACAAGACTGTTTATTACTGATACCAAAGAGAAGTCTTTCCCAGGTGAACTTTTGCAATTTTTTTTTTACCATGCTTGGATCTCAGTCTAAGAGAATGAGATTTAATTTATAAACAAATACTTTCATTTTACAAGTTTATTACTTTTCACTATTTCATATGCTTCTGAAAACAATGTTAGGGATCGCAATGCCCCTTTAATTAGCTTTACACGTATTAAAAAAAAAACAGGGGACACACACAAAAAAATGAATGCGCACACCACTAAAAACACCATCACAGCAAAACAATGCAAGCCAGAAAGCAACAGGCCATGGACCCATTACCCAAGGTCTACTACACCTTCAGTGACTCCCACTTTTGTTCCATCCGCTGCTTTTCATACTGCATCTGACCCACCTTGATTTTCATGCTAGAAAGTTTGGCCATTAAAGACTGGTAGAGAGACAGGAGTGAAAGAAAACTACAGATAGAAAAAGACAAGCTAAGTAACCAAGAACACAGTATCAGTTTATAAAGGAGGTTAGATAACCGAGAGAAATGACAGGTTATGTTCTACCAAATTAGTTAAACCCTGATTCTTATTCAGAATTGTTGCTGTTCAGTCACTAAGTTGTATCCAACTCTTTTGGGACCTCATGGACCTACAGCCTGCCAGGGTCCCCTGTCCATGGAATTTTCCAGGCAAGAATACTGGAGTGGGGTGCCACTCCCTTCTCCAATTATTCAGAACGTTAAAGTCGCTCAGTCGTGTCCAACTCTTTGTGACTCCATGGACGATATAGTCCATGGAATTCTCCAGGCCAGAATACTGGAGTGGGGATCTTCCCAACCCAGGGATTGAACCTAGGTCTCCTGCACTGCAGGCAGATTCTTCACCAGCTGAGCCACAAGGGAAGCCCAAGAATACTGGAGTGGATAGCCTATCCCATCTCCAGCAGATCTTCCTGACCCAGGAATTGAAACAGGGTCTCCTGCATTGCAGGTAGATTCTTTACCAACTGAGCCACCGGGAAGCCCTTATTCAGAACAATAGTGTTTAAATTCTAGATGGTCTCCAGCTTGGGGAAAAACTTTGTTCACTTGTAAAATGCCTTAAAATGTCTTCTTTATCACATTCTAGTAGAAAATGTATTTTATCTATATTATTGATCATGGATGAGTAGTGGAGCCACTTATATAAAATTTTTTGCCATTATGAAAACTTACCTTGGTAGATTTCAGCTTTTTCTCATACTGAAGTCTTTCATTTTCCATTTCACTGACTCTTAACCTCAAATCATTGATCTCCTGCATTAGGCCCTGTCCAAAAAGAAACAAGGAAATACATTAGGAAAGCAGTAAACACCTATTTACCTACCAAAATAGCGGTTTGGAAATCCTCAGTCAATGGCTCTTGGGTTATAGCTGGATGAATGAGATTAGACAAATTGGAATGAATGAGCCTCCTTGAGAATCTTTCCACTGAATCTTCCCATGGATCCATTGAAAGATCCGTTGAATCTTTCCATTGAAAACATGGCCTCCACCCTAAAATGATGGGATTGATTACGGAAATGAAAAGTGATGATAATTTTTAAGAAAGGGATGGTGGAGCCTGGTGGGCTGCCGTCTATGGGGTCGCACAGAATTGGCCACGACTGAAGCAACTTAGCAGCAGCAGCAGCAACTGATCACTTGTTATCACTGAGCAAATATTTCTAGATTAAAAATCACTATATGAACTCCATCTTTTTAAAATAATCCAGAGAAATTTTCTTTAGTAAAGTCATTTACTTTTAGGGCCTTTTCAGCAATATATGGGTATTTATAAAAATATTTTTCTAATTTCTTAATTTGCCTACAAAAGATACATATTGTTCCTCAACTCAATCTGGGAGAAATGAATGAAATTTAAACACTTTATACCAAGGATTCTAAATTTGAGGGTAGATGAGAGCCCTGTCATTTACAAATATATTCAGTATCATAATATAATTTTATGTTTGGAAAAATGCAAAAGAAAGCAACCCTAATGTTTTCATAATACAATCACACACCTTCTCTACTTTCATTTTAAAAAATCTAATTTGTTTGTAAACATTGTCTAAATATTCTGAGCAATAGTGACATTTTTGTCCACAGGCCAGAGAGTAGGAAAAAGAAATTAGAATGCAAAACAATACAAAGTCATCCAGAAGCAGGACTCAAATAATCTGTGAAGACGCCTTTTCTCTAACAACAAGGTATGAAGCTTCCACCAATGGTTAATGTGTTTTTGTTCCTCTCAAGACATTTATTCCTGAGCCACAAATTCACAGGTAACAGAAAAGAATTACACGAGAATGCTATAAAAAACAAACAGAACAATGCTATTAAAGTGTAACGAGTCAACCTCACAGAGGCCAGGAAAAGGATGCTCTAGTGAAATATACTTCTCAGAAAACCTACAGGTTTTTAAATTGTAGTTTCTTATAAAATGGGGGAAAGTACTACCTAGTATTACATAATATTTATAAATATTATAACTATTAATACAATGTTTCAAAAAGAAGCTATTTTCTGTTTATGAATGACATAAATGTTTGATATCATTTAATAACATTCTAATTGTGATTAAGTTGTGATTTAGTTTACCTGTAAGTTCAAAATTCAAGTGAAAGGAAAAAGTCAGTTTCTCCCATTCATTTATCTACCACTTATTAACCACTCTTGCATAATACGAGTTCTTAGTAATCTTCTTTAATCAATCTGGTCTTCCACAGATAATATTTTCCCACTTATTGTTAAAAGTGAATTCTATTTGGATTAAAATTCTATTTGGATTGTTTCAATTCTGTTGTTGAATTGCTGACTGCTGGAATTTCTCAGCTTTGAATTCTATTTGGATTGTTGTATTTCACCACTTCCTTTAGAAATAGTGGCAATTTGTAAAGAAGAAACAAACGAAGAAAACAGAATTATAAATTGGGGTCATTTTTCTATTAAAAAAGAACTATCCAATTATCCCTTGAGGTAATACTGTAAGTATGAACATAAATTTTTAATTTGAAAGAAGCCCTATCGTTCCATGATAACTCAAGCTAGAAAATCTGGAAGCAGCTCCTAAATATGAAACCTTAAAAAATGTAATACAAATTATTTCCAAATAATTTCTTATCAGAAGTTCACTACTTTTAAAAGTGAAAATCTTTGTTATCTTTCCCTTTTCCTTCGCAGAAAACTAGGGCTCCACAGAAGCTCATTTCTGATATCTGTATTCTTACCAGAAGGGGGCACTGTTGAATGATGCTAACCACCTATCAACAATTCCTGGGCTAGGCAAGTCCTGTTTCCCAAGGTTTCAAGACTTCTACCCCTCATCTTTTGGAAGTGCCTATACTTCTACTTCTTCCCCACACTCCACTGGTTTCTTAGAAACTAATCTCCAGATAACCTAAAATCTTAAGACAAAGTTAAAGAATTTTGGATTCATGAAACAGCCAGAGAAACATTTCAACTAAGGGGAAAGGGTAGGAAAATGAGCATATTCAATTTTAAGTTTTTTAGTTTCAATCTTAAAGACTACTTCAATTATTTTCATATATAAAAGCAGTTTATAATATCCCATAATCTCTAATCTCTAAAACGCATGCTACATCTTACCAATAGTGCTGAATGTTTATTAGAAAGTTATCAGGGATTGAAGTTTACTAGAGTTTTGGTGACAAGATCACCTCACATATGATTGAGGCCATGTTTAAGTGAAGCAAGAAAATACCAAAAGGAGGTTTTACAAAAAATGCAGACAAACTCAAGAGATAATAAATATTGCTCTGGGATCTTACCAAAAAAAAATCATAAAACAGCTAGCTACTTCAACTTAGTCCTAATGGTTGGTTAACATCTTGTATCCAAATTAGCCACAGTGGTATGAGTTAAGACTTTCCCTAAACTTTGTATGTATAGTAAGCCCACTCCTTAATGCTTCAAAACTACTAACTTCTTTCCTGACACCAGAGTTAGCTCTACTGCACCTTATCTACCTGTTGACTGAATTCTACCACCATTTTACACAGCAGCTGTGGAGTCAGGGAAGGACAGAAAGAGAAAAGAAACAATATTCAAACAGATTTTTAAAGAAGCACAAAAGCAAGAATTTTAAGGAAACTAAGTAGTTTTCTAAGCTTTAAGACCTCCAGTCTCAGTTAAATGAAAAACGTACTAACATAGGTGACTGATAAAGAGTTTTAAGATTAAAACGTGAGCTAAAACCCAGATGCCCATCAGCAGACGAATGGATGAGGAAGCTGTGGTACATATACACCATGGAATATTACTTCTAAGCTGGGATTTCCTTCTGCTACTGAGGAAGTAATACATATACCAAGACTTTCCCGTATAGTTATATATTTGACAGAAAATTTAACTTTAAATATAGCAATGGAGTATTTGTTGTTGTTGTTCAGCCACTAAGTCATATCTGACTCTTTGCAACTTAAGAGTATAAACCTTATTAAATTCAGATCTATGAAGGACTTTCATACAGTGGAAAACATATGTAATATAGCTCATATCATGATGGCATGCAGTCAGCATAAAATAAATACTTGATATGAAAACAGAGGGGAAGAGTAAGTAAATGATTTCTCTTCTCTCCTTCTTGGTGCCCACTTTGTAGCTAAGTATGACACTTCTCCATACCCAACCAAGCAAACAAAATAAAGAAAAATGAAGAGAAGTCCCTAGGAGAGAAAAAAAATTTCTACAGCTCTTTATATTTTCTTTTCTAATGAGTAGATTTCACATGTTCTGCATTGCACCTCCTGAAAAAAAGCAGTTAACAAACCAGAAGACCTAGAGTAACAATAAACTAAGTTGAACAAACAAGAAAGCACGTTTAGCCACGAAAACGGGTACTTCAAGGTGTAAAATCTACCCTGAATTTCACAAAAGTATAATCGGCTGTATTTATTAACAACTGGAATGACTTACATGTGGAATAGACCAAAAGTAAAAGTCCAAATTAAATGACCTCTAAAATCTGCGATTCCATGAGTACATAATGAAAGGATGTTTGCTATACCTACTTAAAAATTTATTATACAGTGAATAATCAATGTGCCTAAATAAGAACTATTAGTAAAGTCATGCACTTGAATCCGTTATTTCCACAACGAAGAGAATCAGTATGGATGAACAGATGAATGGACAGATACAGATACAGACAGACAGATACATGAATGGCAAAGAGATAGACAGAAGCTCCAAATGTCCTAAGTCAAAAGTATTTTTAAAGGCGAGTGAAAGGATTAATATTTCATATCAAAACTCTCAAAATAAAAATTACTATTATCATTTAGTGATAAAAAGTCAATGTAAGCTTATTCTTAAAAAGAAGTATGGATAATGAGGGCATATAGTAATTAACTGCCTCTTCTTCACAACTCCAAGGAATTTCAACTTGTTCTAGAAATATATGTGTGTGAGATATATAAGTATGCATATATATAAATTAAAATGAAAATGTTAGTCACTCAGTCATGTCTGACTCTTTGTGACCCCATGGACTATAGTCCGTCAGGCTCCTCTTGTCTATGGAATTCTTCAGGCAAGAATACTGGAGTGGGTGGCCATTCCCTTCTTCAGGGGATCTTGCTGACCCAGTGATGGAACCTGGGTCTCCTGCTTTGCAGGAGATCTCCCTATGGATTGTAACCCACCAGGTTTCTCTGTCCATGGGATTTTCCAGGCAAGAATACTGGAGTGAGTAGCCATTCCTTTCTCCAGGGGTTTTCCTAAGCTGGGAAATGAATCTGGGTCTCCTGCATTGCAGGCAGATTTTTTAACTGTCTGACCAGGGAAGCCCTGTATCTATATATATATGTATGTGTACATATATATGTGGTTAAGTCGCTTCAGTCGTGTCCAACCCTTTGCGACCCCATGGACTGTAGCCCACCAGGCTTCTCTGTCCATGGAATTCTCCAGGCAAGAATACTGGAGTGGGTTGCCATTTCCTTCTCCAGGGGTGTGTGTGTGTGTGTATGTATATGTATATAAAGCGAGAGAAAGGGCATCACTTACCTCCGTGTCTCTGAATCTATCTTCATAATCCAATCTGTCCTTCTCTACAGCTGTCAGTTTTAACTTTAAGTTAGATATTTCAGCCATCAGGTCCAACTTCTGAGTTTCTAAAGATGTCCTACTCAGAAGCTCCTATTAGGATTGAAGAGATACATGCAAAAGCTGCTTTATTATAAACAGTCACATATGGATGTGTCTTTCTTATGACCATAAAACAGTATTATTAAGTAGAGGATGTGAAGATTAATTCTAAACAGAAACATCTGGAAAAATTATTTGCTTAATTAACCTTCACTGAGGTTAATTAAACTCAATGAAAGTTAACCTTCCTTGAGCCAAACTAGTGTTCAATAAGCAGCACATGTCTGCTTTGTGGGAAGACATATGTTCTATTGACAAACACATATATGAACTTAAATATTCTTAAGCCTGTGATAATACTGATGATGATATTATGTTTGCTATGTGAAAGGTACTGTTCTTACATGTACTAAGTGGGTCAATCCTCAAAACAACCTTATGAGATAGAAACTCATTAGGATAACCCATGAATTATCCTTGTTCAAAGGTTGAGCCTCTTGATGAAGGTGAAAGAGGAAAGTGAAAAAGTTGGCTTAAAATTCAACATTCAAAACCTAAGATCATGGCATCCGGTCCCATCACTTCATGGCAAATAGATGGGAAAACAATGCAAACAGTGAGAGACTTTATTTTCTTGCGCTCCAAAATCACTGCAGATGGTGACTGCAGCATGAAATCAAAAGACGCTTGCTCCTTGGAAGAAAAGCTATGACCAACCTAGATAGTATATTAAAAAGCAGAAACATTACTTGGCCAACAAAGGTCTGTCTAGTCAAAGCTATGGTTTTCCCAGTTGTCAGGTATGGATGGGAGAGTTGGACTACAAAGAAAGCTGAGCGCTGAAGAATTGATGCTTTTGAACTGTGGTATTGCAGAAGACTCTTGAGAGTCCCTTGGACAGCAGGAGATCCAACCAGTCCATCCTAAAGGAAATCAGTCCCAAATATTCACTGGAAGGACTGATGTTGAAGCTGAAACTCCAGTACTTTGCCCACCTGATGCAAAGAGCTGACTCATGTGAGAATACCCTGATGCTGGGAAAGATTGAAGGCAGGAGGAGAAGGGGTCGGATGAGATGGATGGATGGCATCACTGACTCAATGGACATGAGTTTGAGCAAACTCTAGGAGTTAGTGAAGGACAGGGAAGCCTGCCATGCTGCAGTCCATGGGTCACAGAGCGTCAGAAACAACTGAGCAACTGTAACAGTTGAGGAAGCTAAGGAACAGAGAGGTTAAGAACTTGCAGAAAGTCATTACAGCAAAGAAATGGCAAAGCGCAGGACTAAACAGTCCTATTCCATGTGCAGTGTACCCACTGTATTACAGGTCCTCTAGTAGACAAGCATCATACGTGTGTGTGTGCCCATATACGTTATAAATTATGTCCACTAAGAGTCATATAATGTACTTGTGTGTTAGTCACTCAGTTGTGTCGGACTCTTTGCAACCCTATGGACTGTAGTCCCCCAAGTTCCTCTGTCCATGGAGTGAATAGCCTTTCCCTTCTCCAGGGGAATCTTCCCAAGCCAGGGATCGAATCTGGGTCTCCTGCAATGCAGGCAGATTCTTTACCATCTGAACCACCAGGGAAGCCCTTTTTCCTAATTCTAAAATATACATTCATGGTTGGAAATGAGGCAACCGTATGAAAGCATAAAGAGGAAAACTGAAATCATGTACAATCTTATTAATATTTTACTCTAGACACTAATTGCAATGAACAGTTTGGAGACCCACAACTCTAGGTTTTTGCTTCTAATAAGCCAGTCTAAGTGAATCATAAAATTCATCACTGTATCAGAGCAAACACAACATATAAATGTAGCATCTCCAACAGGTCAGCAGGGAAACCCTACCTCTGAACATACCTGCTGCAGCATTTCCTCTGTGGCATTCAACTTCTCTCTGTGCTCTTCAAGGCAGAACTCCAGATCGCGAATCTTCTCTCCTTGAGCCTCCACTTGGTCTGTCAGCACACTCACCTGTACACAGAGCAAAACACTGTCACGGATTAGGAAGAATCTGGGTCCCACTGTCAACGTTATTTGTCTACACAGAACAAAAACTGGGATGATGTTACCAATCATTTGGTTGTTAAAAAAAAAAAAGAAAGAAATCTAAGCATTAATAAGAAACCAGCCCTTCACACGCTTATTCTTATCATGCATGTTGGTTTGGGGATTCCTCTTCAATTTTTAAGGAAGTTCGGGCTGAACTGGGGATGTGCAACACTTTCTAGGATAAAAACACTGCAACTCTTTATGAGAAAGAGCATGTACACAAATTATCTTTTTTGGAGGGGCCGGTGAGGATGGGAGACAGTATTAGAGATTAAGAGAGGAAATGGAGTTACTATTTGAAACAGAAGTCCTCAAGGACTAGTTAGTTCTGTTTTTTTTTCCCCAAAGCAGTCCGTGGAGGGCTTCCCTGATAGCTCAGTTGGTAAAGAATCCACCTGCAATGCAGGAGGTCTGGGTTCGATTCCTGGTTTGAGAAGATCCCCTGGAGAAGGGAAAAGCTACCCACTCCAGTATTCTGGCCTGGAGAATTCCACGGACACGGAGTCGCAAAGAGTCAGATATGACTGAGCAACTTTCACTACTGACTGAAAGTGGTCTACATCATTTACTTACTGAAGTAAAATATTATAACATTATATTAGTTTTAGGTGTACAATGCAATAATTTGATACTTGTACACACTACACAGTGATCGTAACAAGTCCAGTCACCATCCACCACCATACCATTGATGCCCTTCACTCATTTCAACTATCCTCTGATACCTTTCTTCTCTGGTAACCATCAATCAGTTCTCTGTATCTATGAGTTTTGTTTTTTGCATTTGTTTTGTCTTTTTGATTCCGCATATAAGTGAAAACAATTGGTAGCTGCCTTTCTCTGTCTTGACGTTTCATTTAGCATAATACCCTCAAGGTCCATTCACATTGTCACAAATGGGAAGGTTTCCTTCTTCTTTTATGACACAGTAGTATTCCACTGTAAATATATATATATACTATATACCACATCTCCTTTTTCTTCTTTTTAACTTAAACTTTTTGCTTTGTACTGGGGTACAGCATATTAACAACGCTGTGACACTTTCAGGTGAACGGCAGAGGGACCCAGCCATACATATATTAATACATGTATACATTCTCCTGCAAACTCCCTTCTCAGTCAGGGCTGCCACAAGGACTATTCAATTTTGATACTTGACAAGGAATACAGAAAAGAATCCTGGGAATCCAAATTCTGTGAGGTCTTTCATGATCCCACCGTCCACAAACGTGTTCAAAAGCCAGGATGCAGCTCAAAGGTCCAAGAGGAGCCACTAGGTTGGTCTCTCATCCTCAGTATTTACTGCAAATCTCTGAGCTTTCCTTCCAAGGATCACCAGCCTACTAAATAAGCTTGGTTTTTTTTCTCCCCTACCACGCAGCTTGTGGGATCTTAGTTCCCTGACCAGGGATCAAACCCAGCCACAGCAGGGAAAGCATCGAATCCTAACCACCAGGCCACCAGGGGATTCCCTAGGCTTCAGTTCTTTTAGTTCAAAATACCAAAGTAAAATTCTTTGTCAAGGATTTAAAAGACGGTGAAAGAGAGGAAAACTCAAATTTAACCTACAAACAGGACTCCACTACCCACTTTGCGTTGTTTGGTCCATGGCATCATTTTTCAAATTGAAAAAACTAAATATATATTCAGATTCAGAAATTCTTATTCATATTTATGAAATAGATATATGAATATACAGACACACACATATATACATATATAGTTACAAAGTCAGAATTTCTGCCATATATATGTATTTTTTAAAAAAAGATCATTTATCAGAAAATCAGATGACATTGTGGCTATCACCAAACTGGCCCTTGAAGAGCAGAGGCTAAGAGCCGCTCACTCTAGACGGGGTATGCATACCCTTGTTCCGTCACAGTCCTCACCGGTCCCTAATGTGTGTAGATGGCCCCGTACTTATTTCTATTAGCAGTCTGGCTCCTGTAAGCAACTGAATTTGCCACCCCAATTTAAAATGGTCTTTCTAAGTTAAGTCATGAGGGGAAAAAAGCATTTAAAAATCACTTGCCTGAAGGACGAGGGATTCTTTATCATTTTCTAAACGGGCCAGTCTTTCTTGATACACATCTCCGTTCCCAGGGAGGTGTCCATTCGTCTGAAAAAGGAAGTGATACATGTAAGCCTGACCCTCTTTAACACCGAACTACTGTGGGAAAATAAAAACTGCGTATGTTTTTAATCCAAGGAACCTGAATCGAATTCAGCACAGCTGTTACTATTAATACAAAATATTAGAATGCAACATAGTTCATATAAAAACAGCAACAACAATAACAAAGCCCTTCTCATCAAGCAGAAAACCATGACCCAAAAGGGACAGTGACTCCTGAGAGTCACTGGCAGTGAATACCCACCTGAGACATGCAACGCTTTGTGAGTGTGTGGTTGGGCACAAAATCCCTCTTTCTCCTGAATGCCATGATCAGTGGGAATGTACTGAGGGGGCCGTCCATTCCTCCCCTCTCCTCTCACAGTCCCAAATCCAGGGCTGCAAATGCGAGACTGCAGGCTTCTTCCCGCTACTCCAGTCTCCAGATCACAGAACAAGTGTTCCCTTTCTCCCTGAAGCACTTCTCTGTTTTTCTTTTCAAGACCTTAAACATTGAGTCCTCCACTGGCAGCATGGGCCAAGCTCACTGCCGATTTATCATGTTCTGGTACAAATGCCAAAGGAAATACAGATTGGGGGTGGAAGTGTGGATTTTTTTCTCAGCCATCTTATATGTGCAAGTGATTAAGGAGACACATTGAAAAGGCTTACAGAGTGCAGACAACATAAAAACGTCATTTTGAAACACAGTAGTATATGTGATGTGTCCCTTGGTATCTCATTTAAATAGTTCATAATCACATAATGTGTAATCCCAATAGAATTTTCTGATTACTCATTCAAATACAACAGAAATACAAACCAGTGGAGTCCAAAATGGTTAAACGGGGCCAACCAGAGTTCAACTGGAAAAGCAAATAAACCACCCCAGACTTAGAATCAGAGAAAACACACACTCTACATCCTTACTGCCCAGAACATAGCTGATGTGACAGCCATTATTTTTCCAGAATCAACTGCTTTTATCATTCTACCTTTCCAATTAATGCATTTTCTAGTATAAATTCTGGAAATACCAAAAGCTATGTATTGAGAAGGAAACAAATACAAACAAAAATGGAGAAATAATGAAAAAGAAAATTGCACAGTGTTTCTTCTAAAAATATATACATCCCATAAGACCACAAGAGAATCTGAAACTAGGTAGTAAGCACACACTATATGGGTGCAATTTTTAACATCAGCTGCTTGACCACATACCTGCACAGTAATCACAGCATAATCACAGCCAGAACTAAATTACAAGTATTAGAAGGAGACTGATGGAGTGGCTAGGATGACTTCCATCCCTGGGGACTACCAGGAAAATGAAATTTACCTTAACCTCTTGAGGATTGCTTTTGGGGAAAGAAGCAGGATGTGTAATGCATGTTCTCAATCTGAGAAAGTTGCTGAGACTCACCCTACATGACTTTAAATCTCCCATTTTGACCATGAACATTAGCAGGCATCTGCTTTTAAAATTACACAAGCAATGCTTTATCAACAGACATGTTCTCCTGGGTAGGAAAAAAAAAAAAAGCTTTCTGCTTAATGAGGACAAAAAAGTAAAAGTCCTCTTTCTCCTGACTGAAGGAGACTATAGCAAGATCAGAACTGTTTCTAGAGCAAGTTCTAGAAGTGTTTTTTGAAGCTACTGCGTACGATATGGAAATAAGCTGTCCCCCAAACCAGTTCTACAAAATGATCCATTTAAAAAATACTAAAAATTGACCACAATGAGCTCATGTTTCTCAACACTGTATTTACAAGCAGTCGTAACACTCATGAGTAGTTTATTTTTAAACACTAAAATAACTTTAGGAATAAAATACAAATGAGCCACCACAGGAATAGTTATGCACTTCTGAAGTATTCTGTTGGTATATTCAAGTAGATAAAGGTCTGTTCTGTTCACACTTAATTTCTGCCATTTTTTGTTGCCTTTGCCTCAAAAATGCTAGCAAGAGGCACATCCCACTAGGCAAACGCCCTGCTGTCTCTATTCTTCCTCCATCTGCTGCGCCCTTCCTCCCAGATCACTCCATGCCTCCCCAGACCTGGCATGCTCTCTCAAACACTAACGCTATTCCTTCTGCATGGACTGCATCTCCCACGCCTTCCCTCCTTGTTCCATCTCATTCCTTAGGATCCAGCTCAACGGGGGCTTAGTCTGGAATGTCTCCCAGGAGTTGCCTGTTCAGTTATATGCTGGTTAACCACACCCAGACAACCCTTTGTTGCAGCAGGCATCACACTGAATGGACTAGGCTAGACTTGACTGCATACACAACTCTCTGTACCAACAGACTCTGAATTCTTTGTACAGTCCTCTCAATCTGATGCACAGTGGGTGCTAACCGACTGCTGAATGAAGGAACACTGATCGATGTTCAATAAACATCAGGCAAATAAAAGATGAATGAATGTTTGGTTTTATCCTGGCCTTCTTCCTTCTGAGCAAGGCATTTATTCACATTTCCTCTACTACCTGGTATGCACACACCATGATCACTAGCTCCTTTCCCCTCAAGTCATATCCTCTCTTCCTACCATATTTAAGAGGTGACTTCATAGCTTTTTTTTTTTTTCATCCATGCCGCAAGACTTGTGGGATCTGTTTCCTGACCAGGGATTGAAGCTGGGCCCTTGGCAGTGAAAAGTGCAGAACCATAACGATTGGCCCTGCAGAGAATTCCCTCCAGAACCTTTTCAACGGTCAGTAGTTGAGGCCCTCTTGCACGAACTCCCTCATATACTTCCTTCTTCAACACACAGTATTGCATATCGCCTCCTACATCTTCCCTGTCTTTCTTCCTGCCAGTCTCGGGAGAACTGATTCTTAACTCCTTCTTACAAGCTTACCATTCTTCTACTTTGGATCCTTGACTTTCTGTTTTCCCTGTGAATTGACCTACACTTATTGCCTCCATCCTTATCTCATCAGTTTCTTTCTCTCAATGAATTTTCATTCTCCTTTCCAAGATCTAACTCCAAGGCTCTGTGCCCACCTCCGTACCTTGGAGGGGCGGGACTGGAATACACCAGGGAGGGCGGGGCAGGAGAGGCAGCTGGACTGTAATAGTGATACTTTAATTAAGGGACTTAAGGAGTTTGCCAGATTTTCCTGACATTATGTCAGGATGTGGAGGGATATGTCTAAAAAGCTTTATTCCTCACAGAATTATAGAATCCTACGGCTAGGCAGAAACCACACCCAAGAACGTGAATTGCCTGAATTCACATGGCAGGTGCTACACACACCATCTACTTTACCCTTCACCATCTAAATAGAAGCTCTTCTTTTTATATTAATTTCCCTGTAATCATCACATATAAATATACAATCAAGTAAAAAGATGTTACAAATGTTAATATTTTGCATTATATGAGTCTCTTCTTTAAAATGTTTTATTACAGAAAGCATCAAATATATATAAAAATAAAGACGACAACGACAAGACCCTTTGTTCTCAAACCCAGTTTCAGCTTCACAACAGGTGGGAGTCTTCTGTTATTTTTGTAGAAAGTACCATGTTGTGTTTTTGTCTGAGTTTCTTAGTTTTATTGGTTTGCACTGGCCTACACCTAGCTCTCTTTTCTCCCCAACCTTCACTTTTGGTTTGCTGTTCTTTCCTGAGCTCTGTTGTCCTGTAAAAATCCAAAATCAATACACCAGTCGTGATTTGCTATGATTAAACTTATTTATCTTATAATATAGAACTCCTTTGGAATACAGCATTCCCATACCAAAATGGTAACAGAATTAAAATGGAGAAAAGAAAATCAGTCCAATTTAATAGATAACAAATATTTAAAAAGAGTTGGATTAGCACCATCTCTTTCTCTCACACACACACACACACACACACACACACACACATTCACACTCTTCTCATTCTAGCTCTCTCCCCACCAAGTAAATATACTAGCCTCTTTTTTTTTGGTCTAATCTTTTGGCCATACTATGTGGCATGTGGACTCTTAGTTCCTTGACCAGGGACTGAACCTGCAACCCCCTGCATTGGAAGGTGGAATCTTAACCAGTGGACTGCCAGGGAAATCCCATAAATATAATAGATTTAAAACTGCCATACACTTATGATTTCATGATTCTATTTCTTAAAATTCAATATCAAGAAAGGAAAGTGGGGAGTTCCCTGGTGGCCTAGTGGTTAGGACTCTCGGCTTGCACTGGCATGACTCAGGATCAGCCCCTGGTCAGGGACCTGACAGCCCTAATCCTAACCCTAACCCTAGGCCTAACCCTAACCCTAGGCCTAACCCTAACCCTCCCACAAGCCACACGGTATGGCCCCCCAAAAGAAAGAAATAAAAAGGAAGGTGTGTTCAACTAAAGCTCATTTAATTAAATGTTATCTTTAGCTGCCAAATGATATATCTAATACAGGGTCTTTCATGTCCTAATCACAGTATTAATATTTCTACCACTGCATGCAAACATCCATTACCTGCTTTCCACTAGAGGAAAGACTGAAATAAGACTTGAATCTTTCAGCCACAAATATCACAGTCACATTTCATTTGGGTCCAACACACAAGACAGCATCTCACACTCTTGTACAAAGAGTCAACAATGTTGGAAACCAATCCCCCAGGCAGGAGCAGGGCTCTGCTGTCTGGTCCTCACACTCGATGTGGTGTGATTAGGATGGAGAGGCCTGCTCCTGGGCTGTAAACAATCATCTCAGGGCAACATCGCTACCACGCAGGGCCACTGGAGCAGCCCCTCCGCCTGGCCAGCGCCCCTTTGTACTATGGCACCTCTGACTCCAGGGCCATCTTGCAAACGCCCCACTTATATTTTCCTCCTAAATTTCTACTGAAGTTCAAAAGAACAGCCTCTTCAGGAAGCCCTCTACTTATTCCAAAATCTCACCATCTCCTCATTTGCTAAGAAATCCAAAAGGGGAACTAATCTCACATGTATTTTATCATACCCGACCCTCTCCTAGAAAGACATCAGTTTATTCAATGTTGTCAGA